AAGTAGCTTAGTGTGTTTTTTGTATTAGAATTAGAAAAATTAAAGAGAGTTATTCATTTTGTTCTGTTACTTGAAAATTATTATGATTGAAATAATTGTTTGAAAAAAAGGGGCAGATATAATAATTCTTCTTCTTCTGCCTTTCATTTTAAATCTCTTGTATTTTTTTATATTGTTATGGAATTGTGTTGTATTTTAAATGAATAAACTTTACACCATGTAACACCACTCCTCCTCCCTCGGCACCGTCAGATGTTTTTTCTAAATCCACTAAGACACAGTGGAGTTCTTTCTGACCCATCGTGTCCTCAAATCAAAGATGGATCTGCGGAGCTCTTTCTTGTCATGAAACCAAACTGCTGCTCACCAACAGTCACCTCTCGTCTAACTTCCACAACTCTCCCCCAGATCTTCATCGTGTGGCTCATCATCTTCATTCCCCTGTAGTTGCTACAACTCTGTGCATCATCTTGTTCTTAAAAATGGCCTCCAGCACTTCTTCTCCGTTCCTCAGTCATTTTCTAAGTTTCACGGTCTTTTGGTAAGATCTTGGTCTTCTGTTTTTAGGTTTCAATTTAAGTCCACAGATGTTTAATTTATTTAGGGTACGGCGTCAGTGTTTCATGTCATACTGATTTTGCGAGTCAAAATAACGAGTTGTTTAATTTCCAGAGAATAAAAATAAAAAAATCACAGTGGTAGAAGAATGTCTTCAGATTTAAATTCAGAAAAAGAAGTTCAGATATTCAGATTTTTGTAAAATCACAGTAAAACACAAAAAGAAAACAAGCATGCTGTAAAGCTGTTTGGACTCAGGTGATCAGTTTCTGCAGGTGTCAGCAGAGCAGATGTGATATAAAACCTTCTCTAAGAGGAAAACTAAAACCTTGAGACCGACACCAGAAACCAGGAGACAAATGTTTGGAGCTTGTGAGTCGTCGGCGTCCTCCAGCTGAGGTGGAAGCAGGAAGGTTGGATGTGGGGGTGGAGCTCCTTCTGTAAATGAATAAACTGGGATTGATGTGCTGCGATCTTCACGGCTGTGGAAGCTGGAACAGCGTGGGAGCCTCGAGGCTCGGTTCAGGATATTAACTCTGGAGCCACATCATTAGTTTTACTGAGAGGTGACACAGAGAGGGAACGCACGGTAAATGTGTTCACAGTGAAGGAGGAAGAACTTCTTTACACAGACATGATCATCTCAGAGCAACAAGATGAACTACTGCGAGCAGTTATCACCGGGGTCCAAACCACCCGACACACGTTGACCCTGGGTCCCCAGAACTCCTTCAACCTTCACAGAAGACTTCACATTTGATGAGGACAAAGTATAACATCTTGTTCAGGACCTAAGGTCTCAGCAGCTTTGCTTTTATTTAGCTAAAATACCAACTTTGTTCTTCTGTAACATTTTCCATTTTCATGGATCTCCACAATGTGTCCTCCTCATCCATCTCTCTCTGTCCTCTGTGTCCTCTGTCCTCACTCCACCTCCATGTCCTCTCAAACTGCATCCATTTATCTCCTCTGTCTTTTTCCTGGCATCTGCATTTCTAACATCCTTCTACCATGTCCCTCCTCTGGACATGTCCAAACCACTGTCCCTCCTCTGGACATGTCCATTCTGGACATTCTGGGTTTGTCTGTTTCTACTTCCTGTCCTCTCAAAGCCAGCTGATTGAAGCAGATGTTCGCTCGTCCCGAGTCTGGTTCTGCTGGAGGTTTCTTCCTGTTAAAGGGAGTTTTTCCTTCCCACTGTCTCCACTGTGCTCGCTCAGGATGAGACTGTGAGGAAGTGAAGACCCAACATGTCTGCTGCTTCCTCAGACAGCTTTTACTAATTGGCTTTTTTATGTATGTGAATGTTTTTGAACAGTGTCCTGAGACCTCATCTCCTTCTGCCTTGCAGGAGCTCATCGACGCCGCCATGATGAGCAGCAGCCTCGGCGGGATGGCGGGAGGGGTCGGGGGTCTCGCAGCAGGCAGCTTGAGTGGAGGAGCAGCTGGACTCGGAGGCGAGAATGGACGAGTGATGGCACACGATTTCCCAAAATCAGGAGCTCAGGGTTTGCCCTGTATGAGCAAGGCAGCAGGCCTGGGACTGTCCTCCACAGGCATGTGATCTGAACCGAGACCACTGATTGGACAGAACGCCATCTGTCAGTGAGGAAAGAAAGACTGAAGGGAAATGATGGAAGGAGGAGGGTGGACAAGAAAGATTAAAGGAAAACGTCTGATATGAATGAACAAGATATAAACTGAGAAATGTGACGGAGATGAACAGAGGCGGGAGTTTTAAACGACTCCTGTAAGATGGGTCACTGGGCTCAAACCCACATGGGAACTACTTTTCCTTACGAGCACTATCTTATGCTGAACTCCTGCAGTAACAGGACCTGACGGGCAGATGTGAAGGGATTTTTTTAAGCTTTCTAACGACTGAACTGATGCACCGTCTCACTCCGGTTCAACACAGAGAGCTTTGCCACGCTCCACACCAAGCGCCACTTTTACAGTCCGAGGAGGAGGAACAAGACGACAACTTATGCTTTTCTAACTGTGGAACGTAAATGAACACGTGTGCTGTGGAAAATGTTGATCAGCTAACTGCCTTCATGACGATGCAGTTCATATATAAAGAACAAATGTGTCAAATACTTGATATTTTGCCAGTTTTTGGGTTCACACCGACAGCCGTGAGTCAGATCAGACCAGGTCTGTGGATCCTGTTACTTTCAAATTCAGTCAAGAAAAACAACTTTTTATTCTGAGGTTTAACAGATCAGGTCGTCACAAACACGCTCGAACCCTTTGGTTAAAGAGGCAACGAGTCCCTGAACACGTTGAAACTAGCAGAAGTCGTAACGTGACCCAAAATCAACTCATGAGAATCAGAATCTTGAACTTTGCTTCAATTATCTTAAAAACAATTTAATGAAACTGACTTTGACAAAAGAACGGTCCTCTTAGAACAGAAACTAGTCCGTCCACAGGGACACGTTAGACTCAGGCGTGTCCTCTAATCAGCATCTCAGGTGTCTTCAGTCTGCCTGTTTAAAAGGTGACTGGTAGTCACAGGGCTGTTTGGTATCATGGTGTGTAACCCACTGAACATGGACCACAGGAAGCTGAGGACAGTTGTCTCAGGAGTTAGAAAGACGATGACTGACAGCATGTTGAAGGTAAAGACCATCATGTAGTCAGAGGAACTTGATGTTCCTCTGACTACAGCTGCAGAGCATTCAGAAGGTTAAGGTCCTCAGGACTGGAGACAACCTCCCTGGGCGTGTCCAGCAGAGGACAACTGTTGACAAACTAAAGAGACTGATAAGACAAATGGTAAACAAAGAGTCCAGAACGTCTTTTAAAGAGTTGAGTTAAGCTCCAAGGTCAAAGGTCATCAGTGTCAGATCACACCAACGGTCTGTCTGTGAGACAGTGGACCTAATGGAAGACGCCCGAGGAGGACACTAGTCATAAACAAGACATACGGGAGACAGTGGACCTAATGGAAGACAACTGAGGACACCAGTCATAAA